AAATAAATAAATAAATAAAATGGCACCTTCCTCTGTTCTGTGAAGAAGGTGAAAAACTTCCCTCTGACGGTGGCCCTGGCAGTTGCCACCAGAGATGTTTACAAGGCGCGTGTTACCAGAGGGGCCCACGCAGCCTGTGGGTGACGTTGGAGATGGGCGATTGCTTTGTTCTCTGAGCCGTGCGGCATGGCCAGGCGGGCCTCTGTGTGTCACCCGGGCGGCGTGGCCAGCTGTTAGCAAGGTGATCCAGTTGCAGACGTGGTGCCTTCGTCCAAAGAGCTCACGCTGAGGCTCGTAGCCTCTGCCCGGGCCATGGGTGAATGACAGATGCAGGGCAGCCTCTCTCTGGGCCTCCACAGCGCATCCGCCAGGCCGCGTGGAGTGTGGGGCGTCACCCGCTCCTGCCCTCCTTTCTTCCTGACAGCTGCATGCAACCAGCCTGGTTTCCCACCTTCCCTGTTCATTTCCTCCCCTTCTGCTGTGGAGACCCTGTGACCCACCTGGCGTGCTTTGCATACTACACCTGTAGGCCCGGTGGCTGTTCTTGCTAGCTAAGGCTCAGATTCGTTGCATATTGATGATAGATGCTAGGGGGGCAATAGAGGGCGTGTCGTGAAATGATTGATTATAGGAACATAGAAAAAATGTTTTAAAAATAATTCTGAAATGAAATGTATTTGGTCTGTCACTGACAACTTGGACAAAATTTTCATCATTACGAACACTGAAACGCGAGCTTCCGAAGAGGACTTTGTAAGGTTTGCCACACGCAGATCCCTTTCCTCCATTGCGCTGGCTCTGCTCTCAGCTCATTTCTTGTGTCAAGGTGTTGTTACTGATTCAGACGCTAATTCCGGAAGTGGAGAGGCTTCCCTGGTGTAGCTGCACATGGACTTTCGTGGATAACCCTTTGAAAGTGCGTTTTCCCAGTGTTCCATTCTGGAAAACGTGGTTTCCAGAGCAGCTCTCCCCTTTGTATTGAGTAGAGTTTTCTTACCGATTGAGTCAGCAGAAAGGCAAAAGTAAGACACCCTGGCTGTCCCCCGCTCATGGCTCTGAGAGTTTCTCAGGAAAATGACAGTATTTCATGAACTCATTGCTGATCAAAGAACTTGCACTGCTGATTGTGCTGCTGAGTTTAATTTATTCTCATGCCCAGACTCATGGCCACTCATTGCTGTGGTTTTGACACAGGATTTTTTTCTACTGGACATGGGATACAGTATTGATGTCACTGTTCAGATTTTGAGTGACTCAGCAGTGTCCGTCACTCCAGTTCTTTTCTCTTAGGATAAAATATCTTTCGTAAGTTTGAGTGATTCCTGCAAGTCGTGTTTTCTAGGATCTAAAAACTTTGGCCAGCAGAATGTATGAGTCTCCCAGAGACATGCCCAGTGGAAAGGCACAGCCACCGCTGAGGGCCTTGGGGAGGAGAGGCAGAGACGGTCCCATGGCCAAGCCCAGGGGGCTTCTCTGGTGCTGGTTGCTTGAATAGGAAAATGGTTTTGGAATCAGTGGCGTGCTTCTGGGGACACGGAGCCCTGGCTGAGCCGGCGCGTCGATAGGTACTTTTGGGACACCTCCACCACTTAACAGGGCAGCACCAAAGTCCTTGCCAGTGCTGGCGCTTGCATGTGGACGTCCCCACCTCTGACTGGTGACCAAGCACTGTTGGGCCTTGTAAGTCAGCCAGTCTCACGTAGCTGGTGACAGCAAGAGAAGGCAGAGGTTATTTGATGGACAAATGAAAGTGGCAGTGCTTGCCTCTGAAGGGACCACTGAGAAGGGTGAAGCACTCTGCACCCCTCTGGGGGGCGGAGGCGTGTTGTGGCTGCCCTGGAGCTCAGTGATGAAGATGGCGAGTATGGCCAGGAGCTTGCCTAGTGGGGCAGAAGGTATGGCAGTGATCTGAGCATGCATCACGTATGGGGGGAGGTGAGACTCGTGGGGCAAGATAGGCCTTTGTGAGTACTTGGAAAGTTGTCGTTGAAGTGATGAGGTAGCGGTTTTGATGCACAGAAAGCAGAGCTAAGCAGCTAAGCAGTTACAGGAAGTCAGATCTTAGTGAAAAGAGAAGAATGTTTTATGAGTTCTGTGGGCCTCGGGTGACGAGCGCTGTGCCTGTGGAAAGGCTTGAGGAGGAACTGGGCGTGCACACGGAGAAGTTGCCTGCTCCTCAGGCACTGGTCAGGCTGAACCCTGTGCAGGCCTCTCTCTCTGCTGGAGAGAAAGGGCCACCGGCGCCCAGAACAGCCTGCAAGGAGGACAGACACCTCCGCAGTTGTGGCCCTGGTTTGTGAACTTGCAGGAGGCAGGAACCGGCAGAACTCTTCAATGTGTTCAATAAGGCATCCAAAAAGGCATTTTACTTTAATGAAATTTTATTTTAATGAAGTCTCTCAGATGGCTTACTGAATACCTTCATCACTTCCTCATCAAAACCAACAAGGCTCAACACTGCCGAGACTTTATTGTGGGAAATTATAGTCGCCTGTAGGGAGCCTTCTGCCAGCACTTGCTTGGACACATGCACACACACAAGCACACATGTACACCCATGCAGTCACACATGCCCACACATGTACACACACATGTACTCACACATGCCCCCACACACACATGTACACACACATGCACAGACATGCACTCACACATGCCCCCTCACACATGTACACACAGACATGCACTCACACATGCCCGCACACACAGGCGCACACACACACGCACACATGCTCCCTCTGCAGCACTTTCGTTCTCCTTCCCTTTGAGGCCACGGGAAGGCCTTCCTCTTGCTCAGCAGTGGGAGAGGCAGTGCCTGCAGGGAGCGCACTGAGAGAGATGTGTGCACATGGGTAGATCAAATCAGGCTTTGCGTAGAGCAGTAAAACCATCAACGCCTGGGTTAACGCTTAGCTAGGCCTGTCTGAGGCCTATAGCTGAACAGACTCTGTGGCTGAGGATTGTGTGGGTCCCTCAGGCTGGGTTCACACCTGGAGTACACACCCCCAAGGTCAGGGTGACCACTGGCGACATTTTCCCAGCTACCCAGCAACACTCCTGAGGAGTCAGATCTGGGAAGGGGATGTTTGGAGCTGGGTCCTGGATGGGATTCGGCCATCTCCCTGTTAGAGCTAGGGAAGGAAGGGTCTCTAAGCTGCCAAGGGATCCGTCTTGCCTAAATGTCCCTGTTTTCTGCTTCCCTGAGATTTGGCTGGGAAAACAAATTTATTGGCTGAAATTTCCCACGTTCATATCTACAGAAGCACAGGGCCCACCCAGCAGCAGCTGCAGTTTCCTGCTTACAGCTTGCAGCTCCAGGCTCCAGAGGATGGAATGACATTAATTAACCTTGTTTTCTTGTGCAATGGCCCCTTTGGCACCTCAGGCACCGCTCCACACAAGGGCTGTTGACGCACAAGGTCTCGCTGACCCAACAAGGCTGCCGCTCGACTTGGAGAGTGCTCCTTGTTCAGGACCAGGCTGACCTCGCTGCTGAGCTGCCTGGACCTCTGCTGCTCTTCCCTTCCGAGCAGTCTGGGCTCACAGTCCGCCGGCCGTGCACGTGCTCTGTTAGCACCCCGGGAAGTATCACGGTTGAAAATGTGAGCGCTGACCCCACGGCAGCAACACAGCCAAGCCCTCTTTTAGGTTGGGCGCTGTGGCTGGGTTTTGGAAGCAGTGCGCGTCATTGGGTGACGGGTGCTGGAGGAAAGAGAAGTCATGGAGAAATACTTGGAGCATTCAGGGCCACTCCCTGCACCGCAAAAGCCTAGGCAGGCTTCATTTCCAGTGTTCAAGAGCAACGTCGTTACTGCGAAATGCCTGCTTTCTCTTGCCTCCTGCTGCCCAGGCTCTTGTCCCCACGTGGTTTTGCCTGAAGTGGGTTAGTACAAATGACTGCTGAGTGGTGGTGGTGGCCACACTCTGATGCTCCAGAGATGCTGCTGTGTGAAGACAAGAGCTCGGAGGGAACGCTTTGCATTTTGGCCAGAAAGACAATAGCTGGAGAGGTGGCACTCAGTGGAACAAGGTCCGAGGCTTAACTCAGCCCCCAGCGTTCACATAGAATGGCTCTAGCCAGAGTGGGAGCCTTGTCACCTTTCTGTCTCTGTCACTTTCATCTCAGGAAATTGCTGAGACACAGCACCCCACCAGAATGTGATGGAGGTTAGGCCTGCCTGGCCTCAAACCATGTTGCAGCTGCAGTCCGCAGTGAGCCGGCTCCAGGACAGGGTGGCGTGGCAGAACGGCCAGCAGAGGAGGGCTGCTCGCAGCGCGGCATGCAGGAAGCAGAGAGTTGAAGGGAGGAGTCAGAGGGAGAC